GTGGTATTGAAGGTGGGAGAGAGCGCTGTACATTCACTCCCCCCACCTACAATCCCTACCGGTACGAGACTCGAACCCACAACCTTTGGGTTATGAGTCCGACTCTCTAACCATTAGGCCACGACTCCCCCCCCCATATAATAGGCTAATATTTATAGAAAATAATTATTATTACAACTTTTTTGTGATCTAAATGGTTGATAACTTTATTTAAATAGTAGTTTAATAATAAGAATAATCATAATAACAATTATTAAAATGTTGTTTACATAAATTTAAATAATAGTTATTATTATTGCATATTGTGATTTCTTTGACATACTGTAATGATCATGAATTTGTTATTTCATAAAGCAAAAATATGAGGAATTTATTGAATGAATTAAAATAGGTTCTGCATATTGGTTATCAGACAGTATCATTTTCTATGGGCTACGTTGTACTCGAAGGCCAGGAGTTATTCCAGGAGTTGCATACTATGTTCTCATCATGCATTGTGTGCTAAATCTTTATCATTTGTCATTTCTTCTAGTCATACCATAAATCTCCTGAGTAACCTTCCCGTGCGATGCCTGGATGTTCTGATAGACATCCCTGTCCAAGGTGGGATGGAAGCGTATGGTGGGAAGAACATGGACGTAGTGCAGATACTTCTAGATTTTATGGAAAAGAGGATAGACAAGGTATTGCACTTCAGATGAACACCTACAAGCTGTTGCTCAGCCGTTCCACTTGTTTCATTTGTTCATTCTTCGTGTGTATTTATCCACTCAGGGGACCAACTATAAAGAAGGCTTGACACCTGTGCTGAGTCTGATGACAGAGAGCTCTAGATACCACAGGGAGATCCGCAGATACCTCAAGACCCAGGTGCAGGGTTGAGTCCATGCTCAGTGTAATTTACTGCTCTCTAAAATGAGGCTTTGATGTTGCTTCTTCAGTGCTTTAGATATTAAGTTAAAGAAATAGTTCACCCAAAAATAAATAAAATGCTGACAATTTACTCACCCTCAGGCCATCCAGGATATAGATGAATTTGTTTCTTCATCTGAAAAGATTTGGAGAAATGGATCCTCTGCAGTAAATGAGTGCCCACAGAATGAGAGACGAAACAGCTGATAAAACGTCACAATAATCCACAAGTAATCCTTGTGAAGTGAAAAGCTGTTTATTTGTAAGAAACAAATCCATTATTAAGGTCACTTCTGGACAAAATACAAGTCCATAATCCATAATAACACTTGCACGTGTTGTCCTCTCACATCAAACTCCACTAACATATTTGTTTAGAACTCTTTTGGACCGTTTTCACTTGTAAACAGTGCATGATCTGTGCATATTTCTTTCCTGATTCAGATTAGATGACTTTTGCACTGGAGAGAATAATATTATGAATAGAAGACTCATATTTTAACTGGAAGCAATGATTTGAAGTAAAAAATGTCTTGATGGATTTTTTTTTCTTACAAACACACAGCTTTTCACTTTACAAGGTGTTAATTGATGAACTGGAGGCGTGTTGATTAGTTGTGTGTTATTGTGATGTTTTTATCAGCTGTTTGGACTCTCATTCTGACGGCACCCATTCACTACAAAGGATCCATTGGTGAGCAACTGATGTAATGCTAAATTTCTCCAAATCTTTTCCAATTAAAAAACTAACTCTTGGATGGCCTGAGGGGGGGAGTAAATGTTCATTCTTTATTTGCTGATTAAAATCTCATTCTTTTTGTTTGCTGTTGTACAGGTGCTGCCTCCCCTGAAGGATGTGAAGGAAAGGCCGGAAATCGGCTGCACAGTTCGAAACAAACTGGTGCGTCTCATGACGCATATAGATATGGCAGTGAAACAGGGGGCCGCTGAGTTTCTCTTTGTGCTCTGCAAGGAGAGCGGTGAGAGTTCTGCTTGTTTAATATTTCTAAAAGTTTGTAAAACTGTTTTGAAAGGCATTTTTCTTGGCATTGGTTTGAATTTTGCAGTTTAACAAAATACAATAATTAATATTGAATAAGCTAATTAATTCTTTTTTGCACATCATTTTCTCCTGTTGATCATGTGATGCAGTGGATAATCTGTTGAAGTACACTGGTTATGGTAATGCTGCGGGACTGTTGATGGCACGAGGGTTGCTGGCCGGAGGCAGAGGAGAGACACAGTACTCATCTGATGAAGACTCTGACACTGAGGAGTACAAATCAGCCAAACCATTGTAAGTGCCCTTATATGTATGCATAATTGCTGTTCTTGTTTTCTTAATATAGGTAATACATTTTATCATTTTGCATAGTATCACGTTTTTCCTTCTGCATTCCTGCATTTCTTTGTGCATTCATAGATTATAGTGACAATGTTTTGTGTTTTTCAGTATTAACCCCATCACAGGTCACATAGAGCACCCAATGCCAAACCCTATGGATGAGATGACAGAGGAGCAGAAGGAATATGAAGCTCAGAAGCTTGTCAGTATGATTGATGAATTATCAAGGTGGGTTTTTATTTTGTCATAATTAAACATTTCTGTAATTAAAATAGTAAAAATGGTTAAATATAACAAAAATTTTTTAACACAAACATGTTGTTGTGGTGGTTGTTTTTTCATAATTGTATTTTTCTTAATTATATTTTATTTTTTATTTTATATTTATTTTTGTATATTATTGTATGTTAACTTGGCAATCTGATCTTTTTTTGTCATAATCTTTCATTGTTTTAAGTTATCCAATTTAAGCACAAAATTAAGATTTATTCAGACATAATCCTTTGATTTGAAAATATAGACATGCAGATATTGTCTGACACTTCCATTTATTCAGTGGTCAGTGTACATATTTTATCAACATGCTTTAACATTAAGCAGCAATTAAAATGTAAATAAGAAATTTAAAGTTAAAAGATATTACCAATTTTTATTGTAATGCATGCCTTTTTTTTCATTGTGTAAATTCTGGGCATTGTGTTTTTACTCTTGCTCACTATTATCAGTCAGTTTCTCTTTGTGTTTTTCATCATCTTGTATGAGCCTGTTCATAATGCCCTCATAGATGACACCGTCCTCTAGAAGCATTGTGCTTGTTTTCTCATCACCCTCCTTGGAGACTCGATATGTGCGGGGCCGCATTCATGTTGACCTTTTCCTAAACAACCGGTGGAGTAAACTAGCGAGAGGTGTAGCGCCGTTGCTCCATCCACGCTCCTTACCAACCGCTTCATTAAAACAAGAATCCTCTACCGTCGTCCTCTGCCTCATTTAAAGCTGGCCTTCCGCATTCAACAGGAGTCAATGCACACCGACCGGCCACCGCAGCCTCGCTGCATTAATTACCAGCTAATTGGCACACACAGTGGGATCGTGGGCTCAGGCTCTTTTGTACAATACACTGAGGTTTTATAATACATATACGTGGTTCTCTTTCATACGCTGCCGTTTTATTCAGCCGGGGTGCCAGACATTGTCCTCGGACATGAAGTGGTTTGAGACACTGGCTCAATTATGGGTGTGCCTATGTACGTTAGCTGCCGGGTGATGTTTAATAAGTTTGCAAACACAAGAGGACGCACCATTGTCCATCCATAGGGTGTTTGAGTCGTAATGAGCAGCGTGTGCCCAAGAGAGGCAGATTCCTGTCTTTGAGAATAGATCCTCGTTCCTTCTGTCTTCCTCCTATTCTTTTTATCAGGATTGAAGGAGGTGTTGTGTGGAAGAGGGAGGGCACTGGTGCTTCCCGCTACGGCTGCTGGGGAGATGCAACATGTCCATGGAGGAATGTCCCTCCCTATGTGTGCTGCTTGACTTGCTGTCCAATTAGTACTGACTCTCTACCCCATACACACACACACACACACACATAAAACCCTACGTAAACTCACAATTGCTCAGGTTGCTTATCAGTGCATGTGCATTTGATTAGATAAGAGATTGTCTTGGATTCTGGTTTGTGTTTTCAAGGGACGCAGAGGAAACGTCTTTGTTTCCTTCTTGTCAACTTAATATCTTGTTTACACTCGTCATGACGTGCGTTTGACGTCAAGGGGTTCTTATGTGGACAGTAATGCAGTCCATGCCTGAAAATCGGGGATAAGATAGTTGGAAATTAGGGATGTAACAGTACACAAAAATTACAGTATGGTACGTACCATTGTGGCTCTAAGTAAATTAAAATATAATTACAATTTTCTGGAAAGCATAAAAAAAAATCGCTCAGCTAATGCTGTAAACTATATAAGAAACCCCCTTATTTGGATGCTATTATAATATTGAAGGTTACAATTACGTAAAACTTTTAAATTCTGTTATTTATTTATTTTTAGATATAGTAATCAACACTCAAACTAATTGTATGCAAGCGTAAATTGCACACAAGTCAGTTTTTACATGAAATTATAAATCTAATTATGATTGTTTATACTCCAATTTATTGTTGAAATATATCCATTTACACTTTACCTGTCAACTTGACAGCAATTATTGGACAGGAGGTGCACTGTATAATGTCTAATGAATTTTTACTGACACATCAACTGAAACAGACTAGAAGTTCGAACTTTGGATTTAAGAATCAATATTGATTCTTTAAAATAAATATATATAAAACTAGAAGTTTCAAATTAAGTTCTGGATGTGTAGTGGTTAAAACAACACTGTATTAAAAAGAAAGTCCTGTACTGAATATTTTCAGTATGAATACATGTGCTGTTACACCCTTATTAGAAATGTAAGTGTTACCTTGTCTTTTTGTGGAAAACTTATGGTAACACTTTAGTATAGGTACCAATTCTCACTATTAACTAGTTGCTTATTAGCATGCCTATTATTAACATATTAGCTGTTTATTAATACTTATAAAGCATATATTCTGCATGATCATATTCTATATCCCTAATCCTACCAATAGCTAAATTTAACAGCTACCTTACTAACTTTTAATAAGCAGCAAATTAGGAGTTTGAGGCAAAAGTTGTAGTTAATAGTGAGAATTGGACCTTAAAATAAAGTGATTAAACGTATGTAGGCTATAAGTTGTTACACCATTTAGTAGCTCTTTATAAATCAAAATGTCCAAGTTTATCTGTGTGTGAATGGCATAATGCAAATGAGCTTTCTGCGGCTTTGATTGGATAATGCTCTGATGAATCTTCTCAGGGTGCGCTGGTGACACACAGTGCAGATATAATTGGATTAGCGTGGAGGAGCTGCCGAGGCTTTGAAGAGATTAGAATGAGCACTGATCCTGTAATTATACTGCAGGGTCGGGTGGTGGTGGAGGGGGTGGAGGGCCGCTCTGGGATTGGGGGGGTTTAGGGTTGTGATTCCAAGGGCTCTTATATGGCCAGATGTAAAGGCAAAGAAAGATGTTCTACACATCAACAGGCCTCTTTAGGGGACGGAACTGAATTCAGCTACAATGTTCAGTACAAAGGGTTTCTTTCAAAGAGCAGGTGGATTGTGGTGACAAATTAGTGGCCTGAAAAACGAAATCGACAAGACGTGAGCACAATAAATCTGTAAAGGAAATGATGGCTGCTGGAGTTTTTGCATATTTTACACACATTTCATATTTTATACCACTTTTACAATTATTGGACCTTCGAACGCTGCATTTTGTTTCTTTTTTAATTTAATTTAAAATGTAATTTTTTCCTGTGATGGCAAAGCGGAATATTCTGCTGCCATTACTCCAGTCTTCTGTGTCGCATGATCCTTCAGAAATCCTTCTAATATGCTGATTTGCTTCTCAAGTAACATTTCTTATTATTGTGAATGTTGAAACCAGTTGTGCAGCTTCATATTTTCATGGAAACCATGATACTTTTTTTCTGGATTCTTTGATGAAAAGTTCAAAATAATTTTTTTTTTATTGAATTTTTGTAACAATGTAAAAGTCTTTACCATCACTTTTAATCACTTAAATGCATCGTTGCTGAATAAAAGTATGAATTTCTTCCAAATTTCTAACTGACCCAAGGCTTTTGAAGTGTATATATTTTAAAGTTATAAAAAATATATATTCTATAATATAGTTATTGTATATTATGTTATGTATAGAGATGCACACAAATCGATTGTTCTTTCCTTTTATGTGTACAAAGTACATGTATTAGAAGTTTCTACTGACGTTGGTCATTACTGCTGGTTGTATCACCCTATCCACT